TCAGTTAAAAAAAAAAAAAAAAGAGGTAAAAATTGTATAGTAATGAATGAAATAGTCAATATTTAAATACACAGTGTTTTGAAAGTGTAGCCATAACATTTTAAATGTTAGAAATTAGATATAATGTGAAGTTATTTTCTCTTGCAGTATTGTGCCACAAATGATGTTGTTGACGCAGCTCAACTTGAAACATTTCTTCAAATTTAAGATTAGTTGACACGGTGGGTTTGTTTGGTTTTTCAGATGGTGTGCGAGCACTCTGATGTGTTTGCGTCAGCGTGTGCCATTGCCCGAGCTTTCCCGCTCTTCACCCGCCGTTCAGCATCTTCTCGCAGGACAGAGAAGAAGCACGTTACTGTGGAGTTTGTCACTGTGGGTCAGGACAGTGGCCCGCTGGAGGTCTCCACACTGAAGGTAAAGCGATAAAGTGTAAAGCTACTTCCCTGTGCCTCAGGTTAAGTTGGTTACTAGTTAATTTATGATTATGCATCATTTTATTACATCCATTTCAATGTGCAAGTGGTTGTTTCCAGTGTCTTGCCAGTGCAGCGGATGGAGTTCGTCTGGCTGCTCGAATCGTAGACGCCCCATGCAGCGAAATGAATACTGATGACTTCCTAAAGGCAAGCATTTCCACTCGCAGTTTTATTTTAATATTATTTGTATATTATTATTATTATTATAGTATTTAATAATATTTTTTTCCATCTTAATTTTAGTAGTTTTCTATGTGCTTTTGCCACTTTTATTAATATTTTTAAATACATTTAAGGATGATAGAAATATTTATTTCGGTTTTAGTCATTTTAGTACTTAAACTTATTTTGTTTAATTTAGCAGGGTTTCTGCGGGTCTTAAAAAGGTCTTAGTCTTAATTCGTCCTTCTATAAATTAAGGCCTTAAAGTCTTACATCAGAGCAGAAAAGTCTTAAATTCATAAGTTTATGGTATTAAATGTTGCATGCATTGCAAAAAATCAATATCTTCATCAGTAATTTTCAATACTATTATCTAAACATCCTTAAATCAAGATACATTTACTTGAGATGCAA